GAGAGAGAGAGAGAGAGAGAGAGAGAGAGAGAGAGAGAGAGAGAGAGAGAGAGAGAGAGAGAGAGAGAGAGAGAGAGAGAGAGAGGAGAGGGGTGGGAAGGGAGGATGAGGAGAGAATGGCTCTGACAAGTTGTCCCTGTGTTTCTCCCTCTCTATCCTTTTTCCTTTGGCACTGTCCCTTTCCCCCACTTATGTTGCTGGCGACTGGAGATTCTTGAAGACCTGAGGGTTGATAGTTGGGTTGACCTCCTTCTCCCGACAACGTCAAGAGATATGAAGATTGGCATGGCAGCGGCATTTCACAACCCACCATCTGTTCCTCCATGGATTCTTCACGGTGCAAGAAAGGTGAGCAACACATGAACGAAAAAGCTCCTGAAAATTTAGAAAAACGTTACATAAATATTAGTACAATAGTATATTAAAATTACCGTAGAGTAATAAGAATATTAATAAATACATGATAGAACAAGATATATCATATATGACGATATATTATATATTAAACATTTTCCCAAAAGTGTCCGCTAAAACTTGTTAAAGATATGTTCACAAGAACCCTGTTTCTGACCGCCAAAAGAAGTTAAACTTGTTAAAGATATGTTCACAAGAACCCTGTTTCTGAAAATAGAACATGCAATTAGGCGTGCTTTGTCTTCTCTGCTCTCTCTTTCTTTTCTTTTTTTTCTTTTTTTTTAAAAAAAAGGCTAATTCTTTGAAGCCGAACCAATTCAATTACCTGTCAAATCTGGACAGGACGGCCTTTCAGGCCTTTGTTATTGTCATTATAGTATTACGGGGAACCCCGTAGCAGCCACATCCGTGCTCAAGCCTCCAACAAGGGAACATGCGAGAGCTGCACCCACCAGCAGGTGGGCGATACCGGCCAGGGGTCAGCCCGTAGCATCAGGACCGAGCTTCTTCGATGGGCCGGTCACTGTGCCTCCCCTCCGGTCCCCTCCCCCTATGAACATCAGCAGTCTCTGCTCAATGCCACTCGGGGGAAGCAATGATATTCTCTAGGTGGCGGGCGCCAAGCTTGCCCAGGAAGGTGCATGAGGCCAATGGGGATTGAACCCAAGACCTCCTGAATGCCACTTGCGTGCCTTACCAACTGAGCTAGGCCGCTGGTTGCTCTCTCTTTCTCATGCATTATGTCAGGGTTTCCGGATTTGTGTTAATAAATAAATAAATAAATAAATAAATAAATAAATAGACAGTGTCACATAGCGTCTTTTATTATTGCTGAAGACCAACCACAAATCTATGCTTCTTTGCTTTGTGCCTTTGTGTTCTTCCCACTTTTTCCATTCCCCCCCTCCCCCCCCCCTTCTCTCTCCAGTAGTGGGGAGAAGAGGTGAGATATCACGCATGCAATCGGAGATCGACAAGACCGACCAATGATTAGAATCCAGATGAAAATCCGACACAACTTTTTTATGAGAAAAAGTAGTTTCACCCCTGAGGACCGCAGAAATGGACTCGTGAGTTACTACAGTCTCCCGCCTTAACTTCTTCCCCACACTGCGCCACTCATTCCTCCAACCCGTTCCGGGGGCAACCCCCCTGTCTCCATGTCGCGGTGAAAGAGGACTAAAGAAACTCAAAAAATACTACCAATAGTTTACCGTCCTAACTACATGTTGAGTAGCTCTACAGTGAATTTCCAAATCTCGTCCCGCGTCCGAGCAAAATTCCGGACTGCATTTCCGTCCGGAAAACATGTCTGGAAAACCTTTGGCCCAGTACTCCAGTGTCAGTGTCAGGACCTGTTTCGCGATGCTTGTCCGGACTGGCATATTTTTTGTCGATTTGATGCAGCCACCCTGTTATAGAGGCCAATTTCTGTTTACGACTCGGCTTTATCGGCAGTCCTGTCCTATTCTGAAAATGATGTCCTGGTTTGACCACAGGGTCCCCTCGTTTTTGGTCCTCTGGATGCTCTACCCAAATATGGGAAACATGGCCTGACTTCCATCTTACAGCCAAGAAAGTCCCAGGTCCCCGTTTTTTCGTCCGTCCGTTTCAGCGTCAGTGTTTTTGGATAGCATTTCTCAAACCTTTTTCGAATCCTGTTCACTTCACCAATGGAAATCGAATTCCCCTTCTGATAGGTCAAAATAAAGAAAATGTTGTCCATAAGCCCGACGCCGTAGACCAATTTACGATCACGGCCCAAAGTGGGGAGAAGCCTCGCATTCTGGAAATTCGGATTCTGTCCTTCCTCTTTCCCCCCCCTCCTGACCGCCTCCCCTCTTCTCCCCAACACCCCAAAAGAATACAATTCGGAGGTCCAGCATCCAGTATTGTCTCGTGGGTATGAAAATTGGCAGAAGTCAGATTCTGTCCTTCACCTGCGAGTGCTGCCACCCCGAAAAGAAAATTACGAGAAAAAAAGAAATCTCAGCCTCTTTTGCGAAAGGATGTGGACCAGACAGGAGGAAACCCCCTGATGAGACGAGGTGGTGCTTGTTGACACGCGGCGTAGGGGTAGCCACAGGGTAACGGGAGCTGGTGGTGGGAGGAAGGGAGAGCGAGTGAGGAGAGCTCCTCTGCCCCCGAGAAGGACCCGGTGGTGGTGCTGCTGCTGGTGCTGCTGGTTCCACTGGGAGTGTTCACAGGAGGTTCAAACTTCATAGGCAGTTTGTCTACTACTACTACCACTAGTACTACTACTACTACTGCTACTGCTACTGCTACTGCTGCTGCTACTGCTACTGCTACTGCTACTGCTGCTGCTACTGCTACTGCTACTGCAACTGCTACAGTTACTGCTACTACTACTGCTGCTGCTGCTAGTGTTGCTGCTCCTGCTGGTGTTTTTTAGGCTCCTAGAGCCACTTCTCTCCCGAGGCTCTGCACAAGCCCTGTAATGCCAGCACAGGTGAACATGATCACTTGTCCCACCATAGCCAATGATAAGACAACCTCCACCTAACAAGGACCCACTTACCTTGATTCTTAATTTCTGATGTTCGACCACGCAAATGAATGACCAGAGAGGAAGAATCTGGATAAGTTGCACCTTGCCCCAGACGCCTGAACACAGCTCCAAACAGCGTAGGGAAGCTGCAGAGCAAGTTACTGTAGTAAAACTCTTGAGGGATTTTGAGGGAATGACAGTACCAGCCCAAGATGGGGAAATAAATAAATAAATACATAAGACTGATAAGAGTCTCCTTCGGCGCAATCTAGAAAATCCTAGAAAACACACATAAGGAATCTCCTTCCGCACATCTAGAAAACACTAGAAAATGTGAAAACAGTGACGGATCTCAAAACCCCTAGAAAACATGAAAACAACGAGGTCTCCTTCGTTCCTGTCAGTCCTAATCACGAATCCTAGAAAACGATGGACGACCAATGTGAAAACGTTTAGAGGACTCATCGTGAAGTTTCTAGGAAGACAAAGCCATTTCTTCACAATTCTCTTCACATCTCGCAACACTGCCTAGAAACAGTAGAAAATCTCTCTTTCTTCTTTTTTTTCCGAAAGAAAATCCTTGAACCGAATTCTTTTTTTTTGGAAGGAGATCAATCTTTATTAATCATCAAAGCCGGGAAGCGGGCCCGGCCGGCCCGGCGTCCCTTACAAAAGTCGCCCCAGCTCTGAGCTGAGCGAGGCTCTCTGGCCAGGCATTGCAAAGCTCATGCCACGACTGTGTAAACGACACACATCCTTCGTCTCATCTTCCCTTCCAACAGTCTAGAATGTATTCTATAGCATCGGTAGTAGTATCCTGTAGTAGCCTAAACCATCTTACTATCAGAAATTATGAGCACTTCCTATGAGCACTACAAGTCTGCAAACCACTATGTACAATCAATCACAGAAAAAAAAACCCGAAAAAAGCAGACAAGGCCTTTCTTGACCCGGGGAACAATCCACTGTAACAGTTTCGAACCCTGCAAAAGCAGAGTGGAGAGGGGTTCATGCAAACTCAGATTATCGAGTCAGATATCGGTGAAGCTTTATTGGCTGAAAGCCAGAAATACATTTATTTATTTTTTTCCCTTTTCACTTTTTTTTTAATTTATTTTTTTTTTCTCTCTTTTCTTTAATTTTTTAATAATAAAAACCTAGGAAGATTCGCTCGCCCTGTCGGTCCTGCCCGGCCGGGCACCCAGGCGTGACCCCCGGGGTACCCCGGCGTGCAAAAAAAAAAAAAAAAAAGTGTTTTTTAAACTTTTTTAAACTTTTTTTTTTTTTTTTTTTTTTTTTTTTTTGGGTTGTCTGTGCTCACCGTGCATTTTTTATTATCATGATGATGATTTGTGAAGGGAATGAGAGAGAGAATCTGGGGTCAACGCACACACGACCAGTTCTCCTTGGCCCGCTGAAGCTCACCCAAGATTGCAAGTTCACTCACGCCTATCAGGGCCGGTCTGGTTGGCCCAACGTTCCACCAAAAACTAGCCAATAATTTTCGGGGTCCACCAGGCACTGGAAAATCGCCTGGGGAGTCGTGGGGACCCCTTTTTTTTTTTCTAGAAATGGGGCCCAACCGGACCCCGCAAACCGGACACCGGACCCGGACATCCAGACCGGGCCGTCTGGATCCAGACGTCCAGTTGACAACCATGCTTAGAATAAGGATTGATTAAGCCAAGCTCAAACTATAGTTTTTTTTTTTTTTTTTTTTTTTTTTTTCTCCTGGTTGTGAGTAGCCAAATAAAACGAAAACCTAAACTAACAAAAAGAAAGAAGAGAACTCCAGTTCAGGTAACGACCCATTAACTGCAGGGTTAGTGCCCTACTTGCAAAGAGGATTGGGTCGAGCGTCTGAATCTGGATGTGTTTTATGCAGAGATGCAGAAAGTCCAGTCTGTGGCAATTGCATTTCTGAAGTTTAACTACAGCTCTAACGCAAATTTCCTAGAGTTCCACCACATAGCTCAGCTTGGAGCCTTGAGGAGAAGAAGAAGACTGCCCTGGTGGGTCTCATGGTTGATCCTTCTTGGGAAAAAGAGAGTTACAAAAAGAAAAAAAAAGAAAAAAAAGAAAAGGAAAGAGAGTATGAGTTGGGAGTGCCACTGCTTTCATTGTTTTGCAAGTTTGCAGTGGAGCCATTGATTTGCAAGGAAAATGAGCGATAGCGAAATTCGGAAACCAAACTGCAGGAAGCGTGCGGGTGTTCAAGATGTAATTTTGTTTTCTGGCTTGCCGGTGGAATAGGAACCGGACTGATGCTCCCCAGAATGGAAATGGAGCCGGGACCATAAGGACTCGTTTAAAAAAAAATAATAAAATAAAAAAAATCCGCATCATACACATGAGACCAGACAGTCTTTTTTTTTTTTTTTTTTTTT